TTTTTTTGCGGTTCTGTGAGATAGTTCAACTGTACCGCGTCTTTTCATACTCTTGGCGCATGTCGCACTTACAACCATTTCTGGACAGGTATCTATAGAAATGCATTCATGCCACATATCATCCTATTTTAGTCCTATAGAACATGAAATGTGAGCGTAGGTTGTGACTGGATATAGTAGTGACCTACAATGCTTCAAACTAAAGCTGTCATTGTTCAAATTTTCATCGTGATTGATGTTTCAGAATGCTCGAAATACGAACTCTGTCGGGACTGATGTTCTAGAGGACATCCGTAATGTCCTGTCTAACAACGAGGTACGCTTTTCAGCGTATCTGTACACAGTTATATGTGGCACTTTTACCGTTTACCCTCTTTGAACCCATGAGTTTATAGTTCTCGTCAAATACAAGGCTTGCTGCTGCCAAGCTATTACTTCATGCAGAACATATCCTTGGTAAAGAAGCTTTCACTCATCACATCAGCGTCGATTGGATCGTGCTCACAGCAATACTTGAAGCAGGCCGTGAAGAATTTAGTGTCAAAGTTATCAGAACTTGGATAACGCTATTTGAAAGGCGCAGGGTCAGGTAAGTGCATGATGTAAGAATGTTGCTGTGTCTGAATAGGAAATTTAGTGATTCCGATGACGAAGCAGTGTTTCTCGCAGGCTTGGCAAAATATCTGTCCAAAAAAGGTGAAGATTTGGTCTCATCACTCGCAGTAGAAGAAGCGAAAAAGCTGAGAAGGTAGTATTACTAATTGAGCCTTTTTTGACCTTCTACATGGTCTTATTCAGATATCTGCTGCTGACTTTCGTCATTTTATCGGAGCTAGAACGAGGCGCAAAGCTTTTTGAGAACGCCATTCATTTCGTTGCAAAGACAGTGACGAAAGAAGAGAAGGTAGTCTCAGATCAAAATCGCATACTTACTATCACTACATTCACTGTATAGGTTCTTGACTTTTGCTTCGAGACCCTTCCATTGCATCTCCGTGGCAGATATGGACTGGTAAAACTCTTACTACGAGATAATACAAATAAATACGATGTGAGTAAAATTCTTTTCCCTTTTTTT